AATAGATCCGGATCCTAAAAATAATAATGCTTTGGAATAAGCATGAGTAATCAAATGAAATAAAGCGCTTCGATAAGACCCCATACCTAGAGCTAACATCATATAACCCAATTGAGACATTGTGGAATAGGCTAAACCTCTCTTAATGTCTTTTTGAGCAAGAGCTAAAGTAGCTCCTAATAATACTGTTATTATTCCTATAACCGAGATCAAATACATTATGTAAGGTATAACTCTGAAAAGAGGAAGAAGCCGAGCTACAAGAAAAATTCCCGCCGCTACCATAGTAGCAGCATGTATAAGAGCCGAAATAGGAGTAGGCCCCTCCATGGCATCAGGTAACCATACATGAAGGGGGAATTGGGCGGATTTAGCAACTGCACCGGCAAATAAGAGAACAGCGCATAACGTAACAAATAAAAAATTGACCTCATTATTATAAATCAAGTTATTGAATATTTCGAATAAATCTCTAAATTCGAAACTCCCCGTTATCCAATAAAAACCTAAAATTCCTAATAATAAACCAAAATCCCCTACACGATTAGTTACAAACGCTTTTTGACAAGCATTTGCCGCAACAGGTCGTGTAAACCAAAATCCTATTAATAGATAGGAACACAGCCCAACCAATTCCCAAAAAATATAAATTTGTATCAAATTCGAACTAGTAACTAATCCCAACATGGAAGTACTGAAAAAACTCATATAAGCAAAAAATCTCAAATAGCCTTGATCATGAGCCATATAATTATCACTATAAATAAGAACCATAATTCCAACAGTAGTGATTAATATTGACATAATAGAAGTAAGTGGGTCGATCAAGTATCCGAAGTCTAAAGAAAAATCATTATTAATGATCCAAGACCATACATATTGATAAACAGAACTGCTATTTATTTGCTGAATAGACAGGTAGATTGAAAAAATCATGACTATGCTTAACAATAAAACACTCTGAAAAGCCCACATACGGCGAAAACTTTTTGTTGCCGTTGGAAAAAGAATAAGTCCCGCTCCTATTAACATAGGGACTGGAAGTGGAATGAAAGGTATGATCCACGCATATTCATATGTCTGTTCCATAAAAAAGTTTTAAATTCTTAATTAATTGTTTCCGATTCACCGGATCTTACCTCTTTTGAAAGGAGTCAATAAAAAGTAAAAATATGGACTAACTTAAACTAATTTAAAACTTAAATAGAATTTTTTTTTCTTACTTATTCTGAGTCTTTGCTAAATACTTCAACTATTCAAATCACGAAGTTACGATTGGTCAAATGATATAAAAGGGATTAATTACTAGTCTCCTTTGAAATAAGCCTATTTTTTATCCAAGTTTGACCAGTGAATCGAACGGGGATTCAAGTTTTTCATTTCCTGAAGTAAAACGCGGTTCTTATCTTTAAACCTTTCGAGGTATTTTATTGCATGTAAATGAAATGTGGAACCATAAATAGAAATCGAATATTTTTGGGATTCGTTATTTTATTTTTGATTTTTATATTAAGTTCAACAAATTTTCTTTCTTCATTTCTACAGAACAGCCGATTATCAAATTCTATAGGTATAGATTTGATGAATCAAAAAGAATGTGAAATAAAGATACCAGTCAATAGAGAACCTTTTCTTTTTTACGATTATGAATGTTTTATGAAATAGAAAAACTTGAAAAAAAAAAAATATTGGCCTTCTGTTTTTATTTCCAGTATTCTGCAACTTTCACATAGCTTTTGCCTATCTCGATAATGTTTTATTTGAGGAGGACACTATTAGCTCGAAAATAAATAGTAGTAAAAAGAATTCGTTTTGAACAATAGATGTCTTTCACATCCAGCTATAACAATCAATAATTTTTTAATTTCTAAATGGCAGTTCCAAAAAAACGCACTTCGACATCAAAAAAGCGTATTCGTAAAAATATTTGGAAAAGGAAGGGGTATTGGGTAGCATTAAAGGCTTTTTCATTAGCGAAATCTCTTTCTACCGGGAATTCAAAAAGTTTTTTTGTACGCCAAACAAAAATAAATAAGTAATAAAACGTTAGAATAATTTGAATCAACTTGAAAAAATAATTCAATTATTCTTCAATTAGATAATAATTGAATAATTGAACGATTTACCTTTCCTATTTGATATTGATTAGCTCACCAATCCATATGTAACGGAACTCTATTCGCTTTTCTGATTGATATATAAAATAATAGAATTAGGAAATCCTCTATTTACTATTCACTGAATAATAACTTTTTTGTTGACAAAAGAATAAAGATCATTTCTATTCCAAGGTGGGGAGTTTTATTTTCCCCATCGACCTATTTGCAGAATAAAATGCAAATAAAATTCTATATTTGCATATCTATAGAAGAACGTATATAAAAATCTTTAGTGAAAGTTAAGAACTCATTGAAAGTAATTGATTCTATTTTGAAACCTTTTTATTTTCTCTGAATTATTATATAGACCCCCATGTATATCTTGCCCTTAACCCAATAGAGAAAATTGCTTAATGAAATTTTGTATGACTAATTGTGAATTTTTAGCGATGCAAAATTGGTTCTTTTCTTTCTATTTTGTCGTCAAAATCCCTTTTTTGTTTTATTTTAGATTTATGAAAAAAAAATAAGAAATTGCTGCTTAAACAATGAAAACAAAAACTTTTTGAACTCTATTCCTTAATTGAGTATAGAAGTATAGAACGGTTTAGTTACAAGAGTTGAATTCGAGGAAAGTATAAAATATAGGAAAGTCCCAGGTTAAATAGGTTAAATAAAAAAAACTAAGACTCTAAACTCAAATCAAAAATAATGAACCTTCAACCTCAAATTCCTATTTGAACAACTTTTTATTGTTATTGATCCATTTGAATCATTACTAAACTAAAATAGCTTACTCAATCTCGACGATTGCTTATTCATAGGCTATTATGAGTTCAAGACAAGCCGCTATGGTGAAATTGGTAGACACGCTGCTCTTAGGAAGCAGTGCTAATGCATCTCGGTTCGAGTCCGAGTGGCGGCATAGCATCTTCTAAAAAGGATAAATAGATCTTATAATGAATTCAATTCCCGATTTCCATTTTAGAATTATGTAATTAAGGGACTCTTCTTTTTTAAGATTTTTTATGATATTTTCAACCTTAGAGCATATATTAACTCACATTTCCTTTTCGATCGTTTCAATTGTAATTACAATTCATTTGATAACCTTTTTAGTCGATGAAATTGTAAAACTATACGATTCGTCAGAAAAGGGCATAATAGTTACTTTTTTCTGTATAACAGGATTATTAGTTACTCGTTGGATTTCTTCAGGACATTTCCCACTAAGCGATTTATATGAATCATTAATTTTCCTTTCATGGAGTTTCTCCCTTATTCATATAATTCCATATTTCAAAAAAAATGTTTTAATTTTAAGTAAAATAACTGGACCAAGTGCTATTTTGACCCAAGGCTTTGCTACTTCAGGTATTTTAACTGAAATACACCAATCTGGAATATTAGTACCTGCTCTTCAATCTGAGTGGTTAATAATGCACGTAAGTATGATGATATTGGGCTATGCAGCCCTTTTATGTGGATCGTTATTATCAGTAGCACTTCTAGTGATTACATTTCGAAAAAACAGAAAGCTTTTTTATAAGAGCAATGGTTTTTTAAACGAGTCATTTTTCTTGGGTGAAAATGTTGTCGAAAATACTTCGTTTTTTTGTGCTCAAAATTATTACAGGTCCCAATTGATTCAACAATTGGATTATTGGAGTTATCGGGTTATTAGTTTAGGATTTACTTTTTTAACCATAGGAATCCTTTCGGGAGCGGTATGGGCTAATGAAGCGTGGGGGTCCTATTGGAATTGGGATCCAAAAGAAACTTGGGCATTTATTACTTGGATCGTATTTGCAATTTATTTACATACTCGAACAAATAGAAATTTGCGGGGTCCAAATTCTGCAATTGTAGCGTCTATAGGTTTTCTTATAATTTGGATATGCTATTTTGGGGTCAATCTATTAGGAATAGGGTTACATAGTTATGGTTCTTTTCCATCAACATTTAATTGAATTCAAGACAAGTTATTACAAATACAAGAGCGGGCGACGCATTGTATGAACCAGCATGCGGACCGTGTGAATCAAATATTGTATTGATGATTCACACGGTTTTCTACCATATGTAGTTCAATTTCATTGTTTTTACTTAATTCTTAAGTTAAGAGAAGAAAAAAAGTCTTCTTTTTTTCATTGTCCAAGAATGTTTTTAAAAACAAACATAGGTTTTTTTATTTCAGTCATCCAATTATCTATAAAAAAAATTAGATAGAATAACTTCGACCTTGTCAACTGCTAATGAAAGAACGAAATCGGGGTATATACCAATACCTATTACGGGTAAAAAGATGGAGATCGAAAGAAATAACTCTCGCGGTCCAGAATCAAAAAAAGAATCCTTCGGGGCGTTAAATAGCTTGTATCCATAGAACATCTGGCGTGGCATAGATAATGAATAAATAGGAGTTAATATAATTCCAATTGCCATTACAAAAGTAATTAGTAGTTTTGGAATTAAAAGATATTTTTGGCCGGTAATTATTCCAAAAAATACTATCAATTCGGCAACAAAACCACTCATACCTGGTAATGCAAGGGAAGCCATCGAAAAGCTACTGAACATCGTGAACATTTTTGGCATTGGAATAGCTATTCCGCCCATTTCGTCAAGATAAACAAGGCGGATTCTATCATAAGTCGTTCCCGCCAAGAAAAAAAGTGCAGCACCAATAAATCCATGAGAGATTATTTGTAAAAGGGCTCCATTAAGTCCCGTATCGGTTAGAGAACTAATTCCTATAATTATGAAACCCATATGGGAGACAGAGGAATAGGCTATTCTTTTTTTTAAATTCCGTTGGCCAAGAGATGTTGAAGCTGCATAGATTATTTGTATTGTACCTATTATCATCAACCAAGGAGAAAATATAGAATGGGCATGAGG